CCTCTTCTAACCCCTCTGGTGTACAAGCTCCACAGTGAGTGGGGCAGAACTGAATCAGTGCATGACAGTGAGACCTCCAGTGAAAGTCTGCTGCTGCAGGAAGTGCATGCTGGTGAATCACTGGAGACCACTCCTTCGTTGCAGTTGGCTGCAAGCATTGACTAAGCAGGGTGAGGCAAGCACTGTGCTCTTTTGGAAGAGCAGCAGAGTGCTGATTTGAATGCCTGGCAATCAATACAAAGTCTCTCTGGCAAGAGGACAGGTATTAACCCCAACATCTTGGCGCAGCACCAGCTCAAACCTTTGCTTCTTGCCACCTGAAATTCCCCTGCTGGGATTTAGGACCTTCTTTCCCATTTCCCACCCTGCCTAACACACCTGCAGCATTCCTCTGGGCTGTTGGAATCTGGTTGCGTTCTGCTCCACAAGGGCTGTGTTTCAGACCTTGGTTTCCATGTAAGAATAAGGGAGACTTGGAAGGTGAATTCAGAAATGCCAGCAAATGCTTTTTGTAAGGTCCAGCTGCTGTGACCTTCAGTTTAGTTATATAAGTGATGCAAAGACTATCAGTACTGATTCCTCTGACTTTTGCATCAGCCGTGATATTGCCACACTGAAGGGTGCCTCATCACGCTTGCTGCCAAGGGCTGTTTCAATGCCCTTGGGGTGAGATGAGTATCAGGGAACAGGAGGGAGAGAAATTGGTGAGAGGCTCAGCCGAGGCAAGGTTGTGCAAAGCAGCGTGGAGTTCACATGGTTCTTAACAAAGAGGCATTGATTGGAGGCTTGCTGTTGTGACAGAGCTCGCCAAGGCCTGGAGATCATTTCCAGAGCTTTCTATATGGGGGAGCAAGAACCAGATTTACAAGTGTGGGAGCCTTGATGTAATAACAGCACCTTGTGGGCTTTTAGGAGAAAGGGTTTTCAGGTTCAAGAGCCACAAGCTGCCACTTCATCTGCTCCCTCCCCAGCGCCCCTCACGCCCAAGGAGTCCAGACCTCCCTTCCCAGCCCATTCCCTGTGCCGCAGGGCACCTTGAGTTCTGCATGGTGCCCCCAAGGCCTTGGGTGACCTAGTAAATATCTGGGTTTGGGATCGTGGGGAAAGGCATCAGTGCAAACCACTTCAGAGGCCCAGGTGGAGGAGTAGGATCTCAGAGGTCTCCACTAATGAGGTCTTGGCACCAGCATGTCTTTGGCACTCATCTGGGCCTTTTTTATTGCTTTTGGTCCTGAACAAAAGCTAACACCAAGAAACTAACGAGTAAAACACACCTCGGCAAGCTTCAACCCATACACCTAACGCTTCCGTGTGTGCTGGCTGCCCCTTGGGAGGTATCAGAGTGGATTGGTGGGCACTGGGAGATCTGGCATAGGCACCCCAAATGGGAGGATGTATCCGAGCCTTTTCCCTGCCACACCGACCACACCGATCCTTGAGCAAAGAAGCAGCAAGGCGAGCCCCCAGCGCTGCACATCCACGCGCACCCTGCTTACCATGTTCAAGGCTCTCCAGAGGTTGATTAGGGATTTTATTTTCTCCTCCTCTCCCGGCCTTGCACGCTCATTACCATCAATTATCTATGCGTTTGCCCTGATGAATTATTGAGTGTGTAACGGGGCGAGGGAAGACCTGCCATCCCAGCTCAGTCACCTTGCAAGCAACTGCTCCCTAGAGCATGGTGGCCGCTAGTTTGCCCTCTGGCTTCTGCTTTAGGATGGGAGCATGGAAGGCTAATCCAGCAACTTGCAAAACCCCTTTACTCCATCTGTCCCCCTTCCTCATCGCTGCTGTTGAGGTGCGGGTGTTGTTGCCCCGGTATGGAGCAGAACAATGGGTGAGCTGTTTTCCTGACGAGAGCCTTCGAGGAGCACAACAGAAAGGGTTCACCCTCTCTTGCAAAAGAGCCATGGGTTATTCAGTCACCTGGAAAGGAAACACGATTTCCGCACGGTGTTTGGGGTTTTTTGGGGGTATTTTTTGTTTGATTTGTTTTGTTCTCGTGCTGTTTTTATTCTCCCCCGTTTTCCCCTGAAGCCTTTAGAAAGTTTGGAATGTGTTTTTGTTAAAGCTGCTGCGTGTAGGAGCCTGAATCCCAGCTTTGGCAGCGTGGTGTTGCTGGCAGGCAGTACCTGAACTGGCACCAGCTTTTTCCCTAGCCAAAAGTTTGCTACACCTGGGCAGAGGGCTCTGCAAGGGTCTGGTTTGTCAGCACCAAAGCCTGCTTTTTCTCCAGTTCCTGTCCAAGCAGTCTGCACTGATGCATGGGCCCCATGGCAGTGGTAGGGTAGAAGGGGGAGAGCAGGAGTGGGAATTGTTTCCACTGCTCAAAGTCAAGAAAAATCACTTGATTTTTAAAAGGATCATTCATTAATTTGCAGGGAAATCATAGCTTGAAGAAAGGACATAGCAATGATAAGTGAGGGACTGGATTGATCTCCCTCTTGTGATGTATGTCGCATTCTCCACCAGGCTGGCTGGCAATATCCTTATTTAAGAGGCATGTCTTAGGTACCCATCCTTGGGCAGCGGTAGCCTGCATCCCGGCATAGCCTTCTGCATGCAGTGCCTATCCACAGCCCTTGCTAGGGAGAGACCAGGCTGCTGCCCTGCATGGGAGCTCTGGGGAGATGCCGGTGGCTTTCCATCCGTCCTCTCTGGAGTTCGGCTCATCCCTCGCTTTGCTGGCAAGGGAGGAGGCGCCGGGCCACGACTTCCTCCTGTCGCGAACGGGGCCTCTTTTATTGGGATGTGGAAAGCTGGGTTCAAAGGGAAGCGCTGGGGCCTGTGGGGGGTCAGGCAGCTTGTGTGGGAGCGCAGCCAGCTGCGCCATCGCCCCAGCCGTGGGCAGGTCCTGCTCCAGGGCATGGGCCCTTCATGAAAGAGGTGGGGACCGGTGCTGATGAATCCGCTCTGCTCCAGCCTTGGGAGAAAGAGGGAGTGCTGAGCACACCTACAGCAGGAGATGGGCGGCAGGTTGTTCCCAGGGCCTTTGCTACGTGATTGCTTTTGCTCTCCGGCAAGCTCCCACACGCTTTGTGAAGCTCTGAAGGCTTCCGAGCCAGACTGCTTGGCAAATGGTGTTGCTCACCTCCACGGGTGTGGGCACTTCTGCAAGAGCCTCTCACCTGCAGGGTAGAAGGAGCAGCACATGCTGCGTGTTGGAGGCATCTCCCCTCTCGCCATCCGTCTTCCTCTCATCCCAGCATAGCGTTATCTACATCCAGTGCCCTCATTCCATCAGGAAGGCTGGTGTGTGTTGGGGTCCCACAGGTCACGGGCTGGTCCGGTGTCTAATAGTCTTCATGCATGCAGGCACATGAGGGCACCAGCGCTTTGCTGTGGCTGTGAGCGGCACTGAAAGGCATTCCTGAGCACCCAGCTGCGATGCTAGGGTGTGGGGCAAACCAGCACTTGACTCAGGGAAGGGGGCAAGTTCACACAAAGCTCTAGAGACTGAGTTTCGGTCTTAACTGCTGATGACTGTGGTCAACTGATGGCGTCTCATGGCCGGGATGGATTGTTGAGGCTTGTCCTCGGGGTCATAGGCGTGGCGTGGTGGGAAGGAGAAGGGGAGAAAGAAGAGGTTTAGAGATGAGATGTGGGGACTGAGATGAGGCGGAGTGCTGCAGGCATGGTGTGAGAGGACAACATGGGAGCATGCCGAGGGGATGGTAGAGGTGATGCTTGTGGGTGAGGCTTTATGTATGCCTGCACTTGGTGTGCGTGTGAAGGTGCAGGAGGGAGACCTTGCTCAGGTTCATGTGTACATCACGGGGTACATCCACCAGGAGCCTGGGGGCGTTAAGACTGAGGAATTCATCTTGAGCTTACATGAGGAACCTGTTTGTCCCCCGCAAGAACAGAGCATTCTGAAATGCTCTGTCCCCTCAGTTAGGAGATGTTTCTCTTGCCATAGGTTTTTTCTTTGCCCAGACTTTGTCTCTTTCATTACCCTTTCATGTTCCTCCCTCTTTGTACATCTTTCTTTTTTTATTACCCCTTTCTTTTCCTTTACTCTGTCTCCCAGAATACATCCAATTTCAGATTCTGCCAGAAGCAATGAGCAAAACCCGCTTTTCTTGTTCTTACCACCTTGCTTCTGTATTGCATTTATCACATAAATACTGGTTGTATAATTACCAGAGCATTATCTCTAAACATACAGATTAGGGAAAGACACAGTGGCAGTCAAAGATGAATTTCAGGGCCAGTCTGGTGGGAGCCCTTGTACTCCAGCTGTTAGGGGAGGGATCAGCTGAGACAGAATAGCAGTCAGGAACACCAGCCGCCACTTTGCCTGAGCACCTTTCATCTTTACTCCGCAGGATAAAGGTGGAAGGTTCCTAAATGCAGCCACTTCTGGGGTTAATAAAAGGCCACAGAAACAATCTAGATTAGGCAGGTAGATCATGCAAGGTGCATGGGCACTGCTGTAAGTCTGTTCTTAGATGGGAACTATTGCCACTCCAAAATTAGGGCTGAGTCTTAGCAGCTTGCTTAATTACTGATGCATTTGCAATAGGATTAAATGGATGTCTGAGTGTGTGTTAGCATATGTTAGGATATGCTGTGCTGATAAATATCAGTGCTTTCATGAGCCTCCAGATACGCATGCTCTGCATATTTACAGCAACTGATCAAGTGTCACCCAAATTTGAAGACAAAAGGAAGGAAAGTATTATTGATCCAACCTCACGCCTTTTGGTGACCGTGAACCCCAGCATTAGGGCTGGTTGTAGTGAAGTGTAAACACCGACTGTGGAAAGGAAGGTGTTTATGAACAGGAGTGAAGCTGCAGGAGGTGGAGGTGGATGCAGGTAGTCGCAGAAGATGATGGGTGCCTGTAGCCATAGATTGGCCTCATATCAGCCATGCCGAGAAGCAGACAAATGAATAAATGAAGGAATTCATGGGCGTGATGTCCAAGAACTGTTCTTTTGCTCACTTTCTCTGTCTGAGAAGCACGGGTATATTCATGTCTTTCTGTTTTATTGCAGGGCTGCAAGCTCAGACTGTCTTAGTCAATGACACAGTCTCGGGGTTTATCGGAACAGACGTGGTCCTGCACTGCAGCTTCACCAATCCGCTCCCCAATGTGAAGATCACGCAAGTGACGTGGCAGAAAGCCACCAATGGCACCAAGCAGAATGTGGCCATCTACAACCCTGCCATGGGGGTCTCCATCCTCTCGCCCTACAAAGAGCGGGTGACTTTCCGGAATCCATCCTTCAAAGATGGCACCATTCAGCTCTCCCGGCTAGAGCTGGAGGATGAGGGAGTTTACATCTGTGAGTTTGCTACCTTCCCAGCCGGCAACCGGGAAAGTCAGCTCAACCTCACTGTGCTGGGTAAGAGTCGTGTGAGCCATTGCCTCCAGTTAAACAGATCTGGAGGAGCCTGAGACTCATTTCCTGGCAGCTTAGGGCAGAGGTGAATCTTGGGTGTGAATTGCACCTATGGTGATCTTTCAGGTTGACTATAAAGAGGCGAAGAGCAGGGAGGTCAGGGTAGGTGGTTCACTGAGCTCTCACAGGAATGCCTCTTCCTCTTTCCAGGCCTCGGTTCCCCTGCCTCTTAAATGCAGGAGTGATAACAGTGACCTGGTCCCTAAGGGAGTGGTGAGCCGTAGTGAGCCGGTGGCTGTCAAGAGAACAGAGAAAAGACAACAGAAAGATCCTATGCACAAGTAGAGCTTGTCCGTGGAGCTTAGGTTGTGAGTGCATAGATGCCACCCACAGCGTGCGTGATTCATTTGCTCTCCAGTTTTGGTTTCTCATTCAAGCATAGCGCTGAAAACCTATGGCAGGAAAGGACTGACTTTCCATGGTGTATCTGTGCCTCTAAGGGACCTCCACCATTCTTTCTGCAGAGTAGGTTGCTGGTGGTTTTCAGCAGCAGGCTCAGTGGTGCTTGATGTCTCTTGGGCGGTAGCATTGCTTTCCTAACCCTTTTCTTCTCCTCCTTTTTGCAATTCCTTGCAGCCAAGCCCACAAATTGGATGGAGGGCACCAAGCGGCCACTTATTGCTAAGTCTGGCAGGACAGAAAAGATCTTGGTAGCTACCTGCACCTCCTCTAATGGGAAGCCTCCCAGCACTGTCACCTGGGACACCAAGCTCAAAGGGGAAGCGGAGTTCGAGGAGATCCGGAACAGCAATGGCACCATCACCGTGATCAGCCGGTACCGGCTGGTGCCGAGCCGGGAAGCCCACCGCCAGCAGCTCATGTGTGTGGTCAATTACCAGCTGGACCGCTTTACCGACAGCATGACCCTCAACGTGCAGTGTAAGTGAGCAGGGGCAGGGCTGGAGAGAACGCTCCATGGCCAGGCCCTGGGGTGGAGATAAACCTGGCTAAAAAGGGGGTTGTTCTGAATGCAAGATGCTGGCCTGGTGCAAGGGTTGAAGTAGGGGCTGCTCTCTCCTTCTGGAGAGTGAAAGCTGAAGTGACGCCTGGAATAATCATATGCTTTCTCTTTCTTCTTCCCCTCTCTGCCTCTGCCATGTCCCTTTCTTCCTCCTCTTCTCTCTCTCTCTCTTCTTCATTCATCCTCTCTCACATTCCTTGTCCCATCATCTTCCCCACCTTTCAATCTCTCTCCTTCTGGCACCTCTGCCCCCTCCTCTCTTCCTACTTAATTTTCTCCCTCTTCTTTTTCCATGATTCTTTCCTCTCCTTTTCCCTCCTGCCCTTCCATCTTTTTCATCCCCTTGCAGATGAGCCAGAAGTCACTATCGAGGGGTTTGATGGCAACTGGTTCCTCAATCGGAAGGATGTGAAGCTGATATGCAAATCTGATGCCAACCCCCCAGCTCACACCTATGAATGGAAGCTGTAAGTGTCTGCAGTGCTACTCCTCTGAGCAGCACATATGATCTTCAAACAGGGACAAGGAAACCTCAGTCACCCTCTGGTCAGTTAGGGCCTGGTCACATTACTGTCAGTGATGATGTCCAAGGTAAAACCTGTGTATGTGAGGGGAGAGCTGGTCAATTGCAGCCTCAATACCCTGGATAACTTCCTGTTCTCACCCCACTGGAATAACATCCTGCTGTGGTGATGTGAAGCAGCTGAGATATGACAAGGTGAATAATTTGCCCAGCACCAGTCAAGTGAGTCAGTAGGAGAGCTGAAAAAGAACCCAAGGGTTCCCTTCCTTAAAGGGGCACAAATAGCACCAAAATTATCTCCATGTCAAAAAGCCTTTCCCTGGGATCAGCCCCAGCAGTGAGCAGGAGCTCCCCCTTGGAACGCTCATCCTCCTGTGACTGACATTAAACAGAAGCAATTCCCGATCCTTCAGGGTTTCAGCTTTTGGTTTGAACGCACTAAAGGGATTGAAGAGTGAGTGAGGGGTGTCTGGGGAGTCGGATGGGAATTGATGCAACCAGGTGTGGTTCTCTCTCCCTCTTTCTTTCTAGAGGCACTCGTGTAGCTTTAAAAAAGAAAGATCAAATGGATCCTTTCTTCTTTTCAGCTGGCATTTGTCATCAGGAAAGAGGCTCTCAAAATGGCTTTGTAAGGAGCTAGGCATATTCACTCTTAACTCCGCTTCCCAGCTCAAACTGTTCACAGTGAAAGGCTGAAGAGGATTGTTTTTCTTGCCGTCTTTCTAGTTCTTGTTCCCCTTTCTCTTGCTCTCTTGGTTCTGCCAGTTCGACTTAAACTCCAAGGGACTCTCTGGGTTCCTCACAACGTTGCCAGGGAAGCGGTAGAGGCAAAGATGCTCCTTGTGGCACCAAGGCAGAAGAGATTCCAGTTTAGGCTATCTCTGTGCAGCAGGACCGATGAATTGAGCTGAAGCAAGCCCTGTGAGATGGAGCTGGGGACAGAAGGCAGGGTTTTGCTGTGCTTTTGGGCAAGTCATTTCATCCCTTTGTTCTGCTATTGCTCACATCTAGGCTGGAGGCTGAATGCTTGCTGGGCTCCTGGGCACCAGGCTTTCTGCAGCAGGGGCTCTGTCACTGACCCTGGTCTCTGTTGGAGCAGTCTGCTCCTGCTATGATAGTGATGCTGAAGTCAGGCTTAAAGCTGAAGCACGGGGTCACCAGGTGCCAAATGTCTCAGCCAGGTGATGTGTCTGCAGCCCTGGGCAAGAAAGTGGTTTAGTTACCAACTAGGTTCAACCACAACAGGGGATGCAGGTGTTAGGGTTGAGCATGGCACTGCATGACTATTATGTGTCATTGCACACCTGGTTTATACACTGTGTGGGTAATAAAGTCAGCTCTGGCAGAAATGGATTCTTGGGAACAGCATCTCTGTGAGCCAGGCACTGAGTTGGTCCCCATGTGCTTATCTGATTGATGCCTTTTTTGTCAACGCTGGAAAGAGTTCTTTTCCTACTGGATTCTCTGTGAGCTGGGCATATGTCCATTTGTCTGTCTTTAGCCTGCAAGGGTTTCTTGACGTACAGCTGGGAGCATCAATACTTTGCTTTGAGAAGGAACTGTGGGAAGAATAATGGAGAGAGAAAGCAAGGAGCTACAGAGTGTGGGTTTCAAAGCCTGACAGTGCTTCAGCCTGATTCCCCAGTCTCTCTGGCACACTTGATGGGTCAGTTAGGACAGTATATAGGATTATTGACCTGAGAGGATGGAAAGGAACGATGGAGCTCAGCTGAAGATAAGGACAATGGAGGTGGAAGAAGAGGAAAATAGAGAAAGCAAGTGAGACTGGGGGGAAAAAGAGGAAGAAAGGAAGGAGGATGGATGATGTTTGGTTCCTGGTTGAAATGTAAAAGCCAGCCATCCCTGAAGAGCAACAGTCAGGGTTGCTGTTAAAGGAAGCGATAGCCTTCTTTAGCATCACACACACAGATTTCAGATGTGCCCTTTAGTTCAGGGCCCTATAGGCAGAGGATCAACGTTAGGCTGTTGTATTCTAACATCTTTGGGATCATTGGCCTGATGTAGCTGAGAAAGGCTTAAAGTATTTGCTATACGTATGTGCCTATGTGTACACGTAGACATGCAAAATATGTGCATGTGCATTTAGGCACTTCTTTACAGACCTAATTATACCCCCATTATTCCCTTTTGTTTCTTACAAATTGCTGACAATATGTGCACATCTTTGGTGGGAGGAGGGGAAAGAATGACTTGAGTAATTTTTAATTGCCTAAGAGAAGTAATTACTTTACTTTGCTTCAGTAATTAAGAATAACCAGGCCATGTGTGTCTTTTCCTAACACACAGGGGGTTTGGTTTTATTTCTTGTCTGATTTTGTTCATTCATTGTGTGTATCTCCAGATCTCCTTCTGCCTTATGCCAGTTTCACACCTCTTCTGACGTGGGCAGGTCATAGGTGGCAGGGCTCTAAATCAGCACTGCTTTACTCGAGCTGAGTTGCAATTAACACTGGCTGATAAGCTGCCCAGGAGACTTCCATGGGCAGGAAACTGGAGTAAACCAGGGTCAGGTTGATGTCCCATTCCTGTGTATTCCATCAAATGCAAAGTCAGGCTTGGAGGTGACCCAGATATGTCCAATCTCCCTTGTAATCGCAGAGAAAGGGGGAAAAAAACACCCCAAACAATCCATATAAAGAACCTTGGTTCTCATCATTCAATGGATTTACCTTCTTTGTTTCCTCCAGGCCAAATGGGACTCTGCCAGGGAGCGTGGAAATCCAGAACAACACCATCTACTTTAAAGGGCCCGTCTCCTACAGCGTGGCTGGCACCTATGTCTGTGAGGCCTCCAACGCCATCGGTACCCGGTCGGGGTTGGTGGAAGTCAATGTCACAGGTAGGAAAACACTTGGTGTGCTTTGAGAGACGGAAGAGGAGGAGGAGGTGGGGAGAGAAGGGTACAGGTGGCTGACAGCTACCAGTTATGTCTCCTTAATGTCTGCTTTAATCACCAGTGTCCCCTCATAGGGGTGGAAGTTTCATGCTGGGAAGGGAGCAGTGAAGTTCTTTGCTTTGTCCTGGTTTTGGCTTGGAATTTTTCTCCTTTCTACTTGTTTTTTCCTTTCTTAAACCAAGATACATTCATTTTCCAACCCCCCTTGTCTTCTGCTTTGGATTCAGAGAGATTATTGGATAAGTCAGAAGCGAAGGCACAACAGGGAGACATCTGTTAGAAGGTAGAAGAAGGAGCAGGATGAGGATATGGACTACCACTGAGGCAGTAAAGCATGAGACGGATGAGGCAGTTGTTCAGGATGATGTCTGGTGTTCAGGATGATGTTTGGTGTTTGTGATGTTAGGCAGTGCTCCTTCCAAGGCCAGGTTGGTCTGTGCACTTGCTCGTCTGACCGCCACACGTTACCAAGCATCTGTGAGTAGCGCTTGAGCAGCATTGTCTGGGCTGCAGAAAGCAGTCACATCACGGGATGCAGACAAGGTGGGCAGGCAGCACAAAGCAGGGCACGTGGGCACTTTTCCAGCCAGGCTCACAGCAGGGACCGTTGGAGCAGCCTGTGTCCTGCAGGTACCACTGACAGCAGTGATGCCTGCAAACCGGATGGGGAATGAGGTGCACTGGGGTCTTCCCAAGGCATGGGAAATACAGGAAAGGTGCTGGGGTTGTTACCCCTACCTGCTGTCCAGCCTGAGGCAAATCGGACCTGGTAGCAGGCCACCTCCTTGAGCCACCCCGGTCCTGGAGGAGCTGTCTGACCTGGGAGTGATGAAATGGGCTTATCAGGGGAGGCAAGCTGCTGCTCTCTTCGCCCACTCTCTATAGTGGTAAGTGCTGGGCAAGCATAAAGAGGAGGCCTGGGCTGCTGACCTCCTGAAATTAGCAGTAACACTGTGTTTGGCACCCTCACCACCTCTTCTGCAACATGGGTAAATAAGGCTAATCTTTTCTATCCAAGTGCTTGGAGGTCAGTGGATGGGATGTGCTAATTAGATGCTAATTACCAAGTATTTATTTATGATCATTATCAACTGTAGCAAGCCTTTAATTCACACCTCCTGTCCTGGATCCTTGCCTGCTGGTGTATGCTTTTCTCTGGGGGATATTTCATTAGCCAGTGAAAGGCAGGAGAAGAGCACAGCTCTTTGTTGGGGACAGATGTGGCACAGCACCCTTTCCATCCCTGCCCAACCACCCGAAGCCAAGGGGAAGGTCAAAATCCATTCAGCCACGGGCCGTTTAATGGCAGTTGCCACCAAAGGCGCTGTGTTTCTGGGACAAGTGCCTGGTGCAAACTATCAGACGTGCTTCCCATCAGCAATAGAAAACAATCCCACACGGTAACAAGCACCTTGGGTCACATTGGAAGCAATAACTGGGGGGAACAAGCCTCCTACCTCGGTCCCCAGGCGCAGAGGAGGAGGTGGGATGGGTATTGCAGAAGACGTAGAGGAATGGGCTCTCTCCACCATGACTCGTTTTCCATTTCTGCATAGACTGTCTGTTTCTTGCTGTCGTTCTGTCTCTTGCAGTGTCAGGGCACACGTTCCGAAACACCAGATACAGCCTTGTCCTCGTATTTCCTTCTGCCACCTGCCAGCATCTTATCTGTCTCAGCACAATAGCATCACAGCCTGACTTGCCTGCATGGGCACAGGCTCCTTTAGGGACAAGAGCCTGTGGGTTCCTCCTCTGGGCTTTAGGAAATGTCTCCCTTCCTGGTGTTTCTTTAGGGGAATGGTAGAGCATCCTTCTCATGCTGTGCTGGCAAGGGAGATGGGGTTTGGGGGGAATGATGTTGGGTTGATGTCTGCCTGCCTGTAATCTCAGTTTATTCCCAAAGGAGTGGGTTATGGGGTTTGAGGTTAAATGAGAGGGAAGGAAGGGCACTCCCGCAGCTGCCTGGCTAGGAGGGATTACCAGGCAATCTGTCAGGCCAGGCCTCCACCACATAAAAAAACGCCTTTAATAATTCATGGGATCTGAATATGTTTATCCAGCTCTCCCTAAGGACCGATTAGGCCAGTGCTGGGGAGGGCTCAGCCATCCTCGCTGAGCTATTACAGGTACATTTGTTTGGGTCTTGCAGGCAATTTAGGGATTGTCAGTGGACCACGAAACCTCTTTCAAGAGCTGCATGCAATAAATGGAGTTCAATCTAGGGAGCAGCCAGCCTTGGGAGGAATAAAAACAGAAAGCTGATGCAGAGAAAACCCTGCAGCAGCTTTTCCCCCTCCTGTTTCCCTGGGTACAGACCCCCCCCCCCCATCCCCTCCTGCCACACAGCATCCTTCCTCCCAGCCCTGGGTCCAGGCATAGTTCAGCCCCTTCCTGGGGAGGGCGATTTGCTGGCAGGGAGAAGGCTGAGCACTTCTATTAGAGTTATAGCACATTGAAGAGATTGATAAGAGGAAATCTAATATTTTATTCCAGCAATCTGTTCCCATAATAGCTTCTCCTGCCTTGCAGGACCTTTGTCAGTTGCAGCCAAGCCATGTAGTGTGACATGTAGCTATTTATTGCAGGCGGTTAGGTGACTTCTAAAAGGCTGTGGTTATAACCTGCATGGGCATCCCTGCATGCCCGCACACACGTGCACATGTGTCATGTACATACACGTATGTGTGACCCCAGCCTGTATCCTGGCATGCAAACGGGCCTCCCAGACCTGCATGCCTGCAGTCACGCGTGCATGCAGGGTGGAAGAGCATCACATTGGCATGTATGAATATGCATGTGTTAATGAACATGCATGGGCTTGTGTGCAGGAGTGCACGTGTGTACATATACATCCGTGTGTCTGCAGGGGGACGTTCATGCACTTGTGTAGTGGCTTTAGCCAGAGGAAGCCCAAGGAGAAAGAGGTTAAGACAGGCTCCCACCTGCTTCCCAAGGCCAGGAAGGGGTTCTTTCTTCCAGGATACAGCAAGCTTATGAACTCTCTGTGCTGTTCCCTGCCCAGGGCCAAGCTTTGCAGCCCTGGCCTTGGATGTGCAACATGCAGGCAGGAGCTGATGCCCCCCCATTTGCTTGGCTTGCATCAGGGAGTTATTTGCACACCACCAGTGATCTCATCCCAGCAAGGTCACTGCAGACAGCCCGTGGGGCTCGCTGGAGCTCTCTGCCATGCAGCCCTGAAGAGGATGCTCGTTCTGGGGAGCGTTAAATGCAAGTGCACCCGAAGCCCAGATGCTGCACCAGCAAGTGCTTGCTCGTGGCTGCTTTAGATGGGAGGACGTAGGGCCAGGGGCTACAGAGGAGCAAGCCTGGGGGTCTGGCTGATGCTAATCTTCGGGATGCATGGATGGAGCGTCTGCTGCATCCTGTCTGATGGCGTCTGTGCCAGCAGGCCCCTGGGGGAGCAGCGCTTGAGTGACAAGCGATGGGTGACCTGACAGAGAGATTAGAACCTAAGACACGTTTGGCATCTGGCCTGAAAGCCGTCACACTCTGAAATGCCAGCGGCAGCTGCTGAACTTCTGGATTAGCTGCCAGTGGTTTTTCCATCCCCACTGCCTCCTCTCCCCATGACCCTGCTCCGCAGGAGAACAGAAATCCCTGGTAGGGAGAGGAAAAGCAGGATGCCTTGAAGCCAGCGAAGGGCGTGCATCGGTGCAAAGGGAAGAAGATAGTGCTACAGGTTTCTGGCATTGCAGCCCTGGGATAATTTGGCATGGACTGGAGTGGCAAGGGAAGCTTTGCCATCAGCAAGCTGTCTCTTAACAAACCCCACACACAAACCTCACCGCTGTGTTTGCTGAGACCAGCTAGGAACTGGGAAGCCCCATTGGAATTAAGGTTGCCGGAGCCGCTGTTCACCCTGGCTATGCCCCCTTCTGCCTCCCATTGCGGTGGGTGTTTGGTTTTGCAAGGCAAGAGGAAATCCAATCCAGAGTCTTCCTCTGGAAGAGCTTCACGCCAGGAGCAGCTTGAGCTGATGCATGTCAAGAAAGTGATTTCTTATGGAGTTTGACGTTGTCGTCAATGCCCATGGCTACAGCGAGAACCTTGGCTGGTGCTGGGTTTTTCCTTGGCGCTTCTGATTGAAGGAAGAAGGATGGAAAGGTAACTTCAAGAAGCAGTGTGTCCACAGGAAATGGTATCTTTTCAAATATCGAAGCAGTGTGATAAGCAGAAGGGCTTTTGAAAGCTGGTTTCCTGTGGATCTGCATATCCTAGAAGAATTACTTGATGTCTAAAAAAAAGCTTTTTCTGATCTGGGCCTTTCCTGCCCTTGAGAGCAGCCTCTTGTCCCCATGGGTTCTCTGATGTCTAATGAGGTTTAGCTCGCACCTCTACCAAGGATCCCACTCCAGCTCTCTCCAAGAGCTTTATGATAGGATAATTCGGGCTCATTCTGTCAGATAGCACTGAAATTGGCCAGCAGGTTCAAAAAGCAGTAGATAAGGCAGGATGATGGACAGGCAGGATGATTTGCATGCGTCTCATTCGCATTGGAAACCAGCCATTAGAAGAAAGACGTGGTTTTTAAACCCTGTATTTTGTGATGGGGAAGGCCTGGTTTGTCCCTGGGTGCTGATGGCAGCAGGCAGGAGCCGGGGCAGGGGGATGCTCGGAGCCTTGCATGGAGGGATGAGGAGAACCTGTGGGCTTGGCCCCATCTCCCTGCGCTCCCAGCTGCTGCCCCCGAGGTCCGGCTCCTGGCACGGGGACAGGAAGCAGGGCTGAATGCAACAGCTGGCAGAGCTGGGCAGCGGGCAGATACTGTTGCTGCTCTAATTCCTATTCACACAGCACTCCCTCTTTTATGAAGGGGGGGGGGAACGAGCAGGAGAGGGGGAGGCTTTTTATGCTGGCATTAAAGCCTGGCTTGTTCCCCCTCCCTCTGCTCTGCTGTCTCCTGTTTCTCCAGCCCGCTTTTC